TGAAAATTAACATGTCTATAGCTAATGGCAAGTCCAGTTGGACCAAGAAGGATGTTGGAATGTTTTTAGAGATGCATTTGGTGAATAGATGCTAATGAGGCAGTTATGGCTTGGGTCATGTTAGGATGTATAATAGTTTTTCCTGCAGACAGCAAATATTCGTGAAGCATCTACCATATGTGAGGTACTGTCCTGGGCATTGGGGTCTTGGCTATGAGTGAATCAAGTTCCTGGTTTTGTGCTTACCATGTCAGGGGAGAAAATTAACAAATAAATGGGGACTATAAATGCTCTGAATAAGTAAAGCCAATGAAAAGGACTAGACGGTGCAGGTGGAGGCTGGGGAGGATTTTCCATTAAGTGCAGGTGGTCTGGGGTTAGCTACAGGGGGTTTTCATCCAAGAAAGAAACACATTAGACTTGTGTATTCAGAATCATGAATCTGGCAGTATAATGCTAGCTGAATTAAAGAAAGGGTGATGTTGGAACAAGGAAGAACTGAAGGAGCGTTACTGCAGCAGTTAGACAAGGGTGCCCATCCTGCCAGGAGTGAGAGCGTCGGTGGGGAAATAGAGTCAATGATGGTGCACCCACTGCCATGGAATGTTTTGCAGTTAGCAAAAAGTAAATAATATGTTTGTGATTATAGACCAGGAAAGATGCCCATGATATACAGTCAACTGAAAAAAATGCAAATTGCAGAGTATTATATATAAAGGCACACAAATTTTATAAATATGACATCAATAAGACCTCCCATGAGTGCGTGTGTATGCGTGTTTCTATAACCTTGGTATCAGTGAGGACCAGCTGAACTGTGCTTAGGATTTCAGGGCTTAATGTCACAAAGGTTTGTCAACCACTCACATGAACGTAGGTGTGTGTGGGTCAGCTGAGAAACTGTACTGCTCATGTGGGGACCCAGACTGGGAGAAGCTTCAGCTCCATGTTTCCATGGTTGCCAGGGATGGAAGAGGACATGGCCAGTTGTACATGAGCTTTTAAAGTTTCCACTAGCCCCTCACCCAACTGAAATGACAATGGTGAAATGCAATTATACTACATGCCCAGAAGGAAGAAAGCAACAGTTAGTAAAGAGTCCTGATGGTTACCCAAGGTTCGGAAAAAGGCATGAAGTGGACATGAAGGAGGAAGGGTACACACTCTGTTTCCCTTGTTTGGCAGCAGGACAAAGAGGGAAAGAGTATAGAATCGTATTTCCTAACAAACAGAAATGCCAGGAACCAGCCCAGTGAGAGCAGGACGTAGAGAAGCAGACAGACTGAGACAACCTATGGTCTGGAATCTTAAAATGAGAAGACCCTGTTTTTGAATGTGGGTGTGAGGAGAGAATTTTCAAAGGTGACTTTCAAGGACTTGCACCTGGGTTATTGGAGACAGAGACGTCGTGGGCAGACTTGAGTTATCCTACAAGAGAAACAGGTTTAAGAACATAAGCTCTTGGTTGATTTGAAACTTGTGGAGCTTGAGATGCAAGTAGAAGATGTGTAGGAAGATAGGCATGTCTTGCAAAAGGCAACTGCAGAGCTGGAGTTAAGAGACAGACTTGAAGCTGTTTTATTGGAATGAGTGCTGATGCTTCAGCTATTGTGCAAACTTGGGGTTTCTGGGCAGGATCATGGGAATCAGAGCCACGGCTCCTTCCTCTTTAGCCTCTGGACAGAGGCACATCTAAGGGGACTCTCAGCCATGGAAATGTCCCCATGGTAACATGGCAACCCAAGAGATAGCATTCAACTTTCTGGAGATTTTTACCCACACATTCTTTACATGTGCCAAATCCATTTTAGTTTTACATATGGCCCTATTTGAAGTTGCATTGGAAAGCAGGCTTAAAAAAATGAGAACTCTTTGGTGTTAATAGGGAGTAAAGAACATCCTACCCATGGGACTTGAAATTGCAGTTGACTTTCTTCCTCCCTGTCCCGCCTGCTGAACGCTCCCCAAGCACCACTAGCACAACTCCTGAAATGCTACCACGGAAACCTCTGCTTTGATTTAATGCAATTTGCACAGTTGACCCTTGAAAATTAATTTTGCCATCTCATAATGAATACCAAACAGGGGCTTCTGTATTCAGAAAATTGGAGATCTATTTTCCATTTGGTTATTGTGGATAAGCCTTCCACAGACTTCCATTTTAAGGCTCAAAATGTTTGCAGAAGTATACTTTAATTTAGTGGAGATGGCATTAGAATTTTAAAGTTATCCGAAATTAAGCTACACAAAAGTTATGATAATTTTAAAGCAATGTTAAAGGTCTTTGCATTAGAAGCAAATATGTAATCATAAAAGAGAGGATCTCTTGTAGTTGTCAATTCTGGTACCTGAAGTTATTCATTTAATATCTGGTATGGGATATACAATTTTACATAAATGTTATGTGTAGAAAAAGCAGTATCTTCATTAAACAGACTTTCTGTGTATTGAGAGGGCAATACAGAGATTCCAAAGTAAATTTCATTTGCCCAATAAGCAATAAGTGCACAACAATTGATTTTACCCTGCCTAAAGAAACCTTTCTCAGTGGTTCTCAGCCAGATTCTCTGGAGACCTGGGAAGGGATCTGTACAGCAAGCACCCAGTGAGTGCTGGTGCTAGCTATTTGTGGTTTTGGAAGATGACTTTGGGGCTATAACTCCTTCTGCAATGTTCCTTTCTTGGGAAGCTGAAGTGAGGGAGGTGCCCCAGCCTGCCTGTGTAGATAGAGCACTGCTTACTACATGTCCCTCTAAAGGCATCCCTGATGTCTTTGCATTTTTATACACAAATGATCTAAGACAATAGTTTTTGCCTTGGTTTTATATCCCAAATATGGAATGGAACAAGTAGAATGCATATGATTCTAAATAATAATGCTTTGCTGAAAAAACCTTCAGAGTCTTTATTTTTAAAGAGGTGAAAGAAAAAATATTTACCAGAAAAAAGAATATTGCTATGGCAATGTGTTCCCCCACAGTTTTTGGCCTGGGGGCCCTTTTAAATATAGATTGAATGGGAGGAGATGGGGGCATGAAGCAGATGGTCCATGCCCAATCTGGGCTTCCTGATGAGGATTCCGGGTCATTTTTCCCACTCATAGTGGGTTTCTCCTTGGCCGTCATCCCAAGATGGCTGGACTCACAAGAATTAGAGAAGGTGGTTCAGAGTCCACTCCGTCATCTCCTCACAGTGAGGCCTGGTGCCATTCTCTCCAGACGCAGACTGTGAGATGACAATGGCATGCATGACCATCTCTTCTGCTGGCCCGTGAGAGCCTGGGCTCTGTCCTGCACCCTCCACCTCTAGAACCTGTCTGCATCTGCAGGAGCTTCACCCAGGCTTGAAGAATGAATGTTCAGGTCAGATTACCTGAACTAGCATTTACTCAGCAAGCTTGCTTCAAAAAGCTTGGAGTGCCAAATCAAAGAGTGCCTTTTCAGGACCGTATTTATTTTTAGGCTATGTCTCCTTAATCTCTCCTGTGCTCTTTTGTGTATGACAATTACACAAATACAGCTGATCAGGCACCACCCTGGAATAGTGAAGTGGTGACAGATGGTTCTTTTCAGGTTGTAATACATGGTGCAGGTTCCCAGGAGGGAAGAAGCCTGGTGTTCTCCCAGGCTTCCCTCTCTTTAATCCGTTGGGAGCACAGCCCATTGCCCACATGCTTCTCATGAGCTCACATCCAGACTCCGTACCTGAAGTGCTGGCATGACTGCACGATGTCCCTCCAGCTGTGCAGCGCTTGAGCATCCCCTTCAGGTGACAGGTCACACTGTGAAAGTGGGGCACACTTCCCTTAGCTTCCCTTCGACTTGGAGTCAAGAGCTGCCTGGGAAGCTGGCCACATGCCCCTCTCCCCCCATTTTGCTGACCTCAGTCCCTTCCAACTGGATGGTTCACCCTTCATCCTTTTTTGATGTTCTTCTGTCTCTGCTTGTTTGTAATAAGAATGATCTACTTTATTACCTACTAAATCATTTACTTTTTCATGCCAAGCGTTTCTCTGAGAGGTTTCATGTGGATTGTTTTGATGGAGCTGGAATTCACACAACATAAATTACCCAATTTAAGGTGACATTCTCAATGTCCTGCAGCCAACACCTCATCTAGTTTCAGAGAATTTTTCATGATCTGCACCTAGTCAGCAGCTACTCTCCATTCCCCGCCCAGTCCCTGCCCCCCAGAGCCTGGCAGCATCCGATGTACTTTCCACCTCTATGGGTTTGCTTATTCTGGCTATTTCACATAAATGGAATCATATACTGGGAGGTGTTTTGCCCAGATTTTGTTCACTTAGCGTTTTTGAGGTTCCTCTGCATGGTAGGAAAGTATTCCCTGTTAAGGCTGAATAATGTCCTGATGTTTATTCACCCTGTGATGATTTCTGTTTCCACCTTGGGTTACTTGGAAAATGCTGTTATGAAATGGGCGTACATGTGTCTGTTTGAGTGCCTGGTTTCAATTCTTTTGGGGATATACACAAGAGTAAAACTGCTGTGTATGTTTAAGTGCTTGAGGAATTGCCACACTGAGTTCCACAGCAGCTAAGCCATCCGCAGCCTGGTTTATTTTGTTTGTTACATACCCGTGCTCTCAGCATCTGCTTTCCCCTGATGACACCTGTCCCTCCTCCATGGGTCCCCTTTTGCAGCTTGGAAGACCACCTCAAGAACCCTCTACACATGTTCTAAAGCACAGATACAAAACCCTGATAGTTTAGGATCAGCTTTGCATCCATACTCATGCAATGGTTTGGATACCAAAGTCGAGTCCCAAAATTTTGAAAAGAAGCTTTTCTCCATCACAATGATTAGTTTGATATTGTAATCCAGTGAACTTACTTGCATAGACTACCCTATTTTGTTCACAGATTATTTCTTAAATGAGCATTTCTCATGCTGTTCTATGCAGCCTTTAATGGGATGGAAACTGGAGGCTCCTAGAAGCCAGAATATTTGGTGACTCTCAACGTTCTTCTCCCCTTCCCTTAGGTATCGTTCTTCCTCTTCATCATCTTCGTGGTGTACACTATGCTGCCCTTCAACATGCGAGATGCCATCATTGCCAGTGTCCTCACCTCCTCCTCCCACACCATCGTGCTTAGCGTCTGCCTGTCTGCGACGCCGGGGGCCAAGGAGCACCTGGTCTGGCAGGTGGGTGAACCTCCACATCCGTGGAGAACGACTGTCCATATCCTGCCAGGGGGTGAGGCAGGTGCTGTTGGCCCATTCAGGGTGTGTCTGTAGTGTGGTACTGGCAGCTGCTCCCTTTCTGCCCTTTGAGGCTGACCCCCAATAACACTGAGGAGACAGCCCACTGCCATCGGTGGGATCCACAGTCGCTTAACAATTAGCAACCGTAAAAGTAATGTTAGCAGGAAAGTTGGATGTGACAATTCTGTTTTGCCAATTGCTGAATGGTGGTGTGATTTTGATGAACAAAAGGTGTTCTTGTTATACGTTATAATTCAGCACTCATTTTTATAGTGAAATAACTTTTATGATTAATTCCATAGTTTGTTCCCACCTCTCTCTACCTTGATATTCAAAACCTTCTCTTTACAAAGATAAAACTTTTCTTCATTTTAAAATGTTCTAGCAGGTCTATGAGCATTCAAAAATAAAATAATTATTTCAAATGCTGCAACAGCAAATTATGGCTTACTAATAAATGACATTTCAAAGAAGTCATTCTGTTTAATTAGTTAACAAGCTTTTTAAAAGCTATCTGATTTCTAGCCATGTACACATATAAACACAAGGTTCAGTGATCTGGAGCAATTCCTAACATTCTCTGTTTTGCCTATTAAAAACATGTTTAATTTGCTCTGTGGGGATCAACTGCAGCAAACGTAGCTGTGGCATAAAATGCAGTCAAGCTGAGAAAATTGCAATCATGACAGCGCTGTGCCATTCTAAAGGGACTTTCGACATGGGTCACCTCAGCCCTGCTGGGTCTGAGAAACCAGTTTTTTGTTCACTTGATGTGCTATTTCATTTGGAAACTTGAGGTGGAAGTGGAGGCTTACTCTTGGGTCTGTAATAGTCTCTGTTAGTTGGAAAGCTTCCTGGGGATCCCATTTCTCAATAGTCATCTCCTACTGCTTGTAACATCACATTCATTAAAAGTAGCCAGGAAAGCCTGCATTCATTAAGCATTATTTGTCCATACTGAGTGTAAAGGCACTGGCCTCTAATTTTACACAGCAGGCTAGAGTTTCACCCTGGCTCATTTGGCTGTTACTAAAAAGTGCCCACTCCCAGGAAGAGAAGGAAGGCCATATGGTTCCTCTCTATTGCCTTTGACACATGCTAGTAACCTGCACCACCTGAGACACAGAGGCCAGCCAGTAACTAATCAAATGAGAGAATGAAGGTGGGTATTATATGTTTATTTTAAAAAATGTAAATGATGAATAAAGTTGGTATGTATTCAAGGTATGCAGCATTATGATTTGCTATATGTATACATTGTGTAATGGTTGTCACATTCCAATTAATAAACACATCCATTGCCACCCACACTGTACATTACATCCCCAGGACTTGTTCATCCTATCACAGAAAGTATGCACCCTTTGACCAACTTTTCCCCATTCCCCCCAACCCCTAGCCCCTGGAAACCATCCTTCTACTCAAAAGAACAATCCAGTCATGCCTGGAAAGAAGTACAAGACACACTCCTGTGTATACAATCTCTACCCTAGCCCTCACTTCCTGTTTCTGCACTTCAGAGCCTCTCCTGAGGATATATGTGGGGCATTTCTCCTTTCGTCTGTAAATTCCACTCTTCCATCTTATTTATTTGAGCTGTTAAGCTCAACATTAGGTATTCACATATGGGTTAGGGTGGTGAGCTTATTTTTTGCAGGAGAATGAGAAAACAATTTGCTCAGCCACTTTACATTCTGAAAATAACTGTGTAAACTCCCCTTTCACATGAGCAGTAAGACACTCAAACATGTCATGGCTCACCAGCACCTTTGCTGTTTAGGGTACCCTGAGACACATCCCTTGAACGCTTTGCACTTATCTTTTCTGCCCTTTCATGAATAAGTGAAGTGTCTGCTGGTACAGGTGTAATAGGACACACAATATTTCAGAAGGAGAGGTTTTAGCACCTGTCTATAAGAATTAAATAGGGCTTAAAAAAAAAAAAAGGAAAACGAAGGTCTGCATGAAGAACTCTGTGTATTGTAGGTCATTGACTACTATATTCTTTATTGAGTTGTTTTCTTAAAGCATTTTTTATTTTCCTGCCTTGGTAAAAAAAAAAAAAGGGAAAGATGGAATCTTAAATTTTTATTTACTCAATTTCAAAAACTGACAAAGAAAAATATTCCTTATCAGCAAACAGCCAGAAATGGGATAATTCTAGAATTGCGCAAATAATAAAAACGCTTCACTCCATAATATTTTATAAAGGAATAAGGCCCAAGAGAACAGAATAAGATGAAGTCCATTTCCCATTTTTTTCAGAGACAGTTTCGTAGTAACTCCAAGAGCTGGGAAAGGTGGAACATGTGAAGAGATTTAAAATGGGAGATTTGTAGGTAAACGTCACAGTAATGAAGAAAGGAGCTTTCAGTACCCCTGGCCACTGTTGGAAATATAATCTAAAAATAGCACTGGTTTGAGGTTCTAGAAAAACACTTTATTGAATTCTTTTTACACATGCTGTATATAAATTAGAATTTTACAAATTTGGTGGTTGTATTGCTGTAGTGTAATTGTTTAATGCAACACTATGTAAAATAAAGGATACTGGCCTGATATGAAGAAAGAGGTTGCCCATAGATGATAGTCAGCATCACCCTTCCTTCAAAGCCATTAAAGGAGGGTGCATTTTGTTCAGTACAAATCCATATTAAGAAGTTATTGTTTCATTTTATTCCTTTGAACATTGGCAATCTATGGATAGCACATAGAACCTATCTGTTAATCAAAATATCCACTTAAGACAAATCCATAAACTCCTTCCCTACTGCGTCAGAGAGTTCGTTGTCTTCAGGAAATTCATTTTTCCAGCATTTCCCTTGAAGTAGGAGGCATTCTCAGGCTATGATATATCACCTAATTAAAGAAATTTAGTTAATAACTGAAAATTATGGATAGTATTCCTTAATTTTCAACCTGAGGTGTAATCACTAATATACTTTGTAACTTTTATTTTGAAACAATAACAGACTTACCAATAAGTTGCAAATAGAGTACAGGGAATTATTTTTTTCTAAACCATTTAAAGATAAGTTGCCAATCTGATACCGCATCACCCCAATGCTTTAGTGTGTATTTCCAATGGTACTCTTCTCCTATGTAACCACAGGACACCTGCCAACACCGGGAAGTCCACATTGCACTGGGACTGCCATATGATGCCTGGACCCCCTTCAAGTTCCTCTAGCTTTCCCAATAATGTCTTTCATCACAAAAGGACCCAGCTCAGAAGCATGGAATGACACATGGCAATGTGTTCCCCCATCTCTTTGGTCTTCTACAGGATGGAACAATCCACTTTTGGTTCTTTGGCCCTATGGTCGTAATACTTTTAAAGATGGAAGGACCATTATTTAGTAACATGTCTTTCAACTTGAGTTGAGTTGATGCTTCCTCATGAATAGATTCAGGCTCTGCATCTTTGGCAAGAATCAGAGTGATGGTGGGTGCGTCCTCCTGGAGTGCAATCCAGGCTCCATTGCTTCTCTGTCTTTATACCTACAGTGTTCACTTCTATTATAGCTATGTCCATACAACTCTTTCACCTAGAAATTACTCTTTTCCTCTTTATAATTAAGACAGTTTGTAGAAAGGCACTTTGAAATTAGGCATATATGTTGTTTCAATGTATTTATTTATTTATTTATTTATATCTATACAGCCTTGTATTTTGCCATTTTATTCAATAGATTATACACCATTACCATTGCTATTTTTTTTTTAAGACAGAGTCTTGCTCTGTCACCCAGGCTGGAGTGCAGTGGCACAATCTCGGCTCACTGCAACCTCCTCCTCCCAGGTTCAAGCAATTCTCCTGCCTCAGCCTCCCAAGTAGCTGGGACCACAGGCACATGCCACCACTCCTGGCTAATTTTTTTTAAGTATTTTAGTAGAAATGGGGTTTCACTGTGTTGCCCAGGCTCGCCTTGAACTCCTGAGCTCGGGCAATCTGCCTGCCTCGACCTCCCAAAGTGCCAGGATTACAGGTGTGAGCCACTGCACCTGGCCACCACCGCTATTTATTTTGATGCTCACATTGTCTCGGATTTGTCCAGTGGGTACCTCTTCAAGCTGGTCTGTGTGTCCTCTTGATACATTCCCACCATCCTTGGAGCCCTTTCTTGCTTTCTGGTGGAACAAGATCTTTCTGGTTGATCTTATTCCTCCCCACTCCATCCCTAAACCTAAAAGCAGCCCTCTTTGGTAAGAGAATCAGGAACCCTGATTTTTTTTTTTTTTTTTTTTTGTAAACAGCATTTAGAGGCACGATCTAGGCATTAGGTGTTGGGCGTCACTGCACCAGGGTGAGGCCTACACACATTTACATCTACATTATATATGTGTGTATGTGTGCGTGCCTGTGTGTGCATGTGTGCGCAGGTGTGTGTGTGTTGTATATACTAATAGTCGTGACTTCACAAGGACATTTTCATTTTCAAGCCACCATAGGTTTCACTGCAGTTTTCACTTTTTCAATTGTAACTCCCTTGACCAACAGTGAAAACTATCTAGCTCCCATGATTTATGATAGATTTCCTTTATTGGACCAATTCATGTCTGTAACCAGCCTCCTATTTCTACTGCCATCCCCTCCTCACGTGCAGATGCCTCCTTCCTTGGTTCCTGCTCTGATCTTTGCACCCAGTTTGTCCCCTGCAAGCATGTACCCTCCCCTGTCCAGGCTTTGACACTCCATGCATGTGTGGCTAACCCTCACTTAGGGTCCCCTCCGCTGTCCCGGCTCTGACACCCACACCTATGGGGTGCCCTGCACTTAGATGTCCCCTCTTCTGCCTGAGTCCTGATACCCATATCTGCAGGGCTACCCCATGCCTAGATGTCCCCTCCTCTGGCCAGGCCCTGACACCCAAGCCTGTGGGGCTGCCCTGTGCCTACGTGTCCCTCCAGCGCTCAGGCTCTGTCCCCCTGCAGTTGGC